GGTCCTATTTGACCACAAAGGCTCACTTCCAGAAATACTAATGCACCTGGGCAAGAGTGATGTCTGACAAGAGATTCAAAATCTGTTAGGGATTTGGAGAGTTGTTTTTCAAAGGAGTCACAAAAGGCTAAGATTCAGAGTCACATTCTTGCCTGGAAAGCATGTATGCCTGGTTCCCACTATAACTGTTGGGAGGTGGATCTGGCCTCAAGGGCACATCAGGACCCCTGGGAGTCGACGTAGCACAGATGCTCATTCGACCACTGCAGTTAGAACCCTCCACTTGTGACACCAATGAGATTTCCAGGGTAACCGAGGACAACATAGTAGAGAATTATGGCCCCGGAAGGAAACAGATTAAATGTTAATACTTACCAGTCAACATCAAATTTATTTTTAAAACTACACATCTAATGATGCCAAATAAGCAAGACAGAAGGAGGGTCTAAGTATGTATGTAATTCTTCCCTATTTTGAGAATATTTCTAAGTACCATAGGCTCAAAGAAACTGAGACAGAAATAAAATTAAAGAAGTGGGGGAGAGAGCTCACTTTTCGGATTTATGCCACATTTACTTATTTTTTCCATTATTTCCAAAAACACAAGGTTTACTCCAGTTGTGACACCAGGTTTTGCTAACTTTGCTAAAATCATTACCTCATCCAGAGAAGCGATCTCTACTAGACGAAAATTTAACACATCTATGCTCTCACCCCTACCAGCCACTCCTCAGAAGGAAGGTTGGGCAATCTACTTCCATAGTGATATTGCCTTGGAAACTCAAGGAGGGGTAGCTATAGGTGGTATCCAACTCGATGGCAGTGAGTTTGGTTTTGGCTTATGCTCTCACCTTGCCAAGATAATAAACTGGTTAAAAAAATAAGCATGGGTTAATAGATATCTACAGGGCAGTAGTGTGGTTCAGTGGTAGAATTTTCACCTTCCATGCAGAAGACTGGGGTTCAATTCCCTGCCAACGTACCTCGAGTTTAGTAGTGGCTGGCATGTTGCTATCATGCTGAACAAGTTTCAGTGAAGCCTCCAGACTAAGACAGACTAGGAAAAAAGGCCTGGTGATCTACTTCCAAACATCAGCCAATGAGAACCCTATGGATCACAACAGTCTGATCCCACTGTGCATAGGATTCCTATGGGGGTTTGGGGGAAGGGACCTGAAGCGATGGAAGCTTACAACAACAGATATCCAGTACTTTTTGATTAAGGAGCTCTGGTGGTACAACGGTTAACCATTCAGCTGTTAACCTAAAGGCTGGCAGTTCAAACCTACCACCTGCTCCATGGAAGAAAGATGTGGCAGTCTGCTTCCCTAAAGATTATAGTCTTGGAAATCCTCTGGGGCAGTCCTCTCTGTCCTCCGTCCTATGAGTTGGAATCCATTCAATGGCAGTGGGTTTGGTAATGGGTTAGCTTTTGATTCATTCACTCATTCAACAATTCATCCATTTTCCCTACTGTTCCCATCCTTTCTCTCCCTCTCCCCCCAATTAAGTACCATCCACACTCTACCTAGTGATTCTGTGGTCTAAAGACCTCACTGTGTTCTATAGATTGATTATAATATAATCTGTTTAAAAATTAGTATTTACTAAATCAGTCTCTGTCAGGCACTGTGCTGTTTCACATGCATCATCTCATTAAGCCCTCATCACAACCTTCTAAAGTAGATAAGTTTTGTTATCCAGACTTTAAAGCTGAGGAATATGAGAAAACAAAAAATATCTCACTCAAGTTCACACAACTGGCAAGTGGTGGAGCCTAAACTTCAAACCAGGACTACCTGACAGAAGAGTTATTTACAGAATTCAGCATTAGTAAAAGTACTAATGAGCAGTATAGTTTCTGAAAACAGCAGGAAGCTCAGTTCACACCCTAGCTTTCCACTTACTAGCGCTATAACCAAAAAACATATGCACTGCCATCAAGTCAGATCAGACTCTTAGTGACTCCTCCTTGCTTTTCCAAGGCAGTTATCACTATGGAAGTAGATTGCCCAACCTCCCTTCTGAGCAGTAGCTGGTGGGTTTGAACCTTGTTAGCAGTCAAGTGCCTTAGACACTAGCCACCAGAGCTCCTAAAACAAATTACTTAACCTCTCTGAGTCTATAAAGCAAAGATGAGGAATAAATACCACAGATGGTAAATGTCCATGGTATAGGATAGAGATTCAATAGCTACTAATATTATTCCAGCTATAGGTGTATAAATAAGAAAGCAATTTCTAGTTATAACATTATTTTTAGCTACATTAGAAATAATAGGTTTACAAAGGTTAATCAGGAGTCATGGATGGAGCAAACAGTTAAGTACTCAAACTACTAGCCCAAAAGTCGGCAATTCAACCTAACCAGAGATGTCTTACAGGCCTGTTTGATCTGCTTCTGAAAGGTCACAGCCTTCAAAACCCTATGGAACGCTTCTCCTCTCCTCTGCACACACGGGGTAGGTAGCCCATGAGTCAGAACCAACTGAGGGCAACTAACAACAACAACAGGTTAATTGCTTTAAAATTAGTTTACTAATTCCATGACTCAATTGTTTAAATAAAAGATAAAGAGCTTGTAAATTTTAAATTTATTGTACTTCAGTTAAATACATAACATCATCACAATACCCACTTTCAAGTATGAAAAGTAAATGTTTGTTTAAAACCAAAATATGTGGGCATCTTTTGTTATAAAACCATATACGGAATAAGCTTTGGTAATGAAACTGAACATAATCCACCAAGGAAAAGAGCATTATATAAAAGAATTCATAATGATTCCTTTCAGAAATCAACAACTTCCAAATTTAGTCATTTTATAAATCCAAGTTCACAAGTACCATCATCAAAATATGCATAGTGGATTTGCTTAAAGTGAGAAAGACCTGTAATCATTTTAATTTTTCTTATCTTTCAGATATTAACCAACTCTTGTGCTTAGATGGCAATGTGGAGCAAGCCTGCTGTTTAATATAAAATGACCAAATCCAGGTTTTTTTTAATCTACTCAGTAACTGAGCTCTAGATTAATCTGCACATCATCAAAACGACCTTTGGAATTATACAGAGTAAACTAAAATTAATCAGAGAAAGGGTATGCCAAATTTAATAACAATTCCTACTTGCCTGGCTTTCAAACATCTGCCAGTGTTGATGATATTTAGCTGACAAACTGCAAAACTTTAAACACAATCAAGTGTTTTCAAAGGCATAGTGTACAAAGCTTCCTTCAAGAAATACTTAGCTACCTCTTTGGAACATCATGAAAGTTTTCCTCTTGTTTTTCAACCAGCTTTTCTGGGAAAACTTCACACTCTCATCCTCACCACTCATCTAAAGGCATTATTTTCACCCTTGCTGATTAAAGTAGAATTAAGTGATATGCGAATCACAGAACTCACTACAGAAGATTTCAAGCAGCTCGCTTCCACCAAAAACAGGGAGACAGGAGGGAGGTACCCTAGCTATGCTTATTATAACATTCAGAATGCTGAACCTGTTACTTTACATTTAACCTCTCATTGTTTATATCTACATTGAAAAAAAAATCCATTAAAAGGAAAACATTCTGGATTTTTTTCAAGCACTTGCTAACTGCAGATGCTTTGTTCAAGTGGACAAAAAAACTAATGCCATTGCTTAATTTAAAGCTCTCTAATGACCTCTCCTCACTCAGTCTAGCCCATCATCTATCTCCTGAAATACCTACAACATCCAACACTAACTTAACAGTGGCCAAGAAAAATTTAATTACCTATTCAATATTGCTATATTTGTGGCATGTAAACCAATCATCTCTTAAGAGCTAAACAGAGTGGTAGGCCACTTCACATACACTGTCTCTAATCCTCAAAACCACCCTCAAAAAGAAAAACAACCCATAGAGGTGAAGTGATCTAAGCAAAACAACAGTAAATTGGGGTCCCTAGATTCAAACTCTGCACCTTTCAGTATTGCATACTGCTTAATTTCCAACCTAAGCTTGTTCATTTATAAGTGTTCTCTCTCCCCAGGATTCTGAATGCTTACTAGTTACCAACTAGGGGTGGTGATTTTGCACCTTTAAAGCACTTCAGACAAATTAGGTCTTTCCCAAAATGATGGGGAAGGGATTCTGTGGTTTCACGCAGGTAAAACACGTAACTGGTGAGCGACTATGGAGCCTTTTGGATCTAAAAGCACTGGTTCTCTTCGCCTTACTTGAATTACTCGATTTTGTGCATGGTGTGGAATTCGACTCAGGCCTTCCTAGCTAAGACTGCACACCTTTTATGAGCAGCCAGTGTTTCCCTTCGATCCCGCTGCGGAGACTCAGTGGACCCAAGAACCCAGGGAAGTCGGGGAGTGGGCGAGAGGACTGCAGCGAGGGGCTCGGAGCACACAACTCCCTCCTACGGACCCTGCCAGCAACTCCGGGGGGTGAACCAAGACAAACTGTAGGGCGGAGGCATTCTAAACCAAGTTCATGAAAGCCGCGTTACACTCCGGTGCCCGGGAAAAGGCTCCAGCAAACCTAAGCTTCCGGACCCAGGGGAAGTGGCGGGGCGCAGGGGGGTCTCCCGCTCACCCGCCGACACTGACTTTCCTGTCAAAGTTGGTCGCATTGGAAGAAAACGGCAAGGCCTGCGAAACCCAGCGAAGGAAATGAGGGAGGAAGAATTTTTCTTCAAAAAGGCCAAAAGGTAAACCATCAACCATCTCCTACGAACAACCTACACCCGGAACAAAGAGCTTCTGTTTCAAGCAGGATTAACCCTACCGCTTCGGGATTTTGAAGGGGAAAAAAAAAAAACTTTTCCTCTGGAAGCGAGAGCAGAGGGGAAATGGAGGAGGGGGACAGACTCCCAAACCTCGCTAGGAGCAGGCACGGCGCCCAAGGGGTAGGAAGTGCAAGTCTCCGCGGAACGCGCGGCGGGCTGGTGGCGCTACCTGCGGGCCGCGCGCTGCGCCCGAGGGCCCGCATTGCGCCCTGAGGCCCGGCCCCGCCACACTCACCTCCTCGATGGCCGCCACCGTGTTCCGGCACTGGGCAGTGCGGGTGGTAAAGCTGGAGGCGGTGGGCGCCTTGTAGTCTTCATGGGTCTCGGCCACGAATTCCGACACGGAAATCTGGTCCGGCATCGCCTTAGCGCCGGGGAGCGAGCGGCCGGGAGCGGGAGAACCGCCGCCTCAGCCGCAGCGGCGGGCACCGACCGCACAGACGCCGCCGCGCCCGCAGCTCCTTACTGGCCCAGGGGACAAAGAGAAGCCAGCCAGGGGCGCCGGGGCCGCTCACCGCAGGAGCCGAACGCCAGTGGGAGGGAGCAGGTGGGCCGCCCGCGGTACCCAGACGCTGCCCGGCTGGCGGGAGAGGAAGGGCGCGTGCACAGCCCCGCGCAGCTCGGCCACGGCCCGGGTCTCCACAGCCACTGCCGAGGGCTCCTGCGTGTTCGCCGTTGCTGCCCCGCCGCCCCTTCCTCTCCTAAACAAGCCCCCGAGAAGGGCACACAGAGCCGGGTGGGAACTGCCCGCCACCCAGCCTCGGACACCGACAGTCTCCCGGGGAGAGGGGGCGGGTCTGGGGCGGGGGCGGGGGCCGACCCGACGCGGGGCGGGGCGGGGCGGGCGGCGAGAGAGCCGGGCCGCCAATCCGCGTGCTCGCCGCCGCCGCCGCCGCCGGGAAGCTAATCCTGCAGGAAGGAAGACGGCGCTCGCCTCGGCCGCCGCGGAGTCGCACCGGTCAGCGCCCTCCGCGCGCTGTATTGTTTAAGCTTTCGTGTGTTCCCAGTGCGGTGCGCCAGGGTTCGAGGGCGTGCCCCCAGCCCAAGCTCGGCCGCAGGACTCCCTCCCGTCCGTCGCCCCTCCCTGGGTCGAAGTCCATCGGGGAGGCCCTTCCTCTTGACTCTTCGGTCGGTGAGGGCGTGTGCAGGTTGCGCACACTCTCCTGGCTCGAGTTAGAGTCCACCCTTCAGAGTTCCAACCACACCCCTTGATTAGAACCTAAATGGATTCCCCACCTAAACCTCGGGGAATGCCGGTCCAGGCGAAGAAGAAAGTATGAGGAGTTCGCCCCCTACAGGAGGATGTGCTCCACCCCGTGACAAATCTCTCCTGGTCTCTACCTGGGCAATATCCACCAGAGATTTAGGATTCGGTAATAAAGATAAATTACCATGTTGTGAATGTTTATGTGCCTTACATATAGTCACTTAATCTCCCAAACCACTTTCAACAGTAGATAAAGAGATGATTATTTGTTTCATGTAGAAGACAATTTGCCCAGGAATACACACAGTACATGGTAGAAGGCACATTCAATCCCAGCTCTCCTAAAGTCACAGCGTTTTCAGAGTGCTTACAAGCCCAGTTAGTAAGTGCCCCAGCCATGTTTCCTAAGCTTGTGCAATTATAGGTAATTTCCAGTTGGAAATATTTTTGAGGTTCAAGACCTAGACCCACCTGGGCAAGTTAACTAAACACCAAAATGGGTGTTCCTGTAGAAATGCAGGAAACCAGGGGAGTAAATGAGAGAATGAAGAGAATAGGCTTTTTACATTATGGTTTAAGAGAGAATGTTCAACAGTAGCAGGTAAATCTCATAAATGGCCCAAAAAGGAGTTTCAATCATTACAAGTTTTCATTTATCCATCTTAAGGAAATTCTCATAGTTACTTTATAACATCCAGAAGTGCTAAAGACACTAGTCAAATAAAATCACACGCTATAACTCTATACTAGGCATGTGGCATGGTTTCTGTAGCTGCCAGCAATAAAACTAAGAGAAACTTTACAAAAACCTTTTGTGCATCTGAAAGGAGGAAGTGTGAGAGACATTGGAAATTCAATACGTCAGACAAAGAAGTCTCCTGACATTGCAGGACAGTGGACCAGTCAAACAATCTTCTTTTAAAACTCCCATGTAAGAATTTGTTACATGAGGTGGAAGCTTGGGTCAGACGTTATGTATGGCCTTTGGTATTTGAGTAGCATTGTATGTGAAATTTTGCTTTTCTAAATAGCAATATTGGTGAATAGCTTTTATCATTACACTAGGGCAATGAGTTAGAATTTTTAAAATTTAGTACCTCTGCTTCTGTCTTATTTTTTTCCCACTTTTTTGGTACCTTTGAGGAATTTTTCTATTTGCAACTATTTTCAAGTCTGGTATATATTATTTATATTAATATACTTTCTCCTATATCAGGCAGTTCCTTCCTACCTAGTTTTCCAGCTACAGTCATTGGAGAATATTCTGGGTAACTTTTTTTAAGTCTTGATTTTTAGAGGGCTAATATCAGGCTAGGAGTCCCTGAGTAGTACAATGGGTAAGCACTGGACTAACCGAAAGGTTAGAGGTTCAAACCCACTCAGAGGCACCTTGGAAGACAGGCCCGATGATCTGCTTCTGCAAGCTCATAGATAACTCTAAGGTTATGGTTGAAAACCTTATGTAGCACAGTTCTACTCTGGACACATGGAGTCATCATTACTCAGAATTGACTCAACAGCCAACCAACAACAATAATATCAGGCTAGAGGGATTTAAGAATAAAAAAGTAATGTTTTTCCTTGGTCTTAAACTTATCAAGACTACTTCATATTTAAGGATAGACATGATTAAGCTTAGTGTTTTCTGTGTTCTCTTTATATACAACTCCTGTTCTTGTTTCTTGGCATTTAATATAATTTTTCAGATAAAGCAACCTTTGTGGTCAAGTCAGTTCTCACTCGTAGCAACCATATGTGCAACAGAAAGAAACACTGCCCAGTCTGCACCATTCTCACAATCATTGCAGCCACTGTGTCAATCCATCTTTTTGAGGGTCTTCCCCTTTTTTCACTGACCCTTTTCTTTACCCAGCATGATATCCTTCTCCAGAGACTGGTCCCTTCTGATAATGTGACTAAAGTATGGGAGATGAAGTCTGGCCATTCTTGCTTCTAAGGAGCATTCCAGTTTTACTTCCTCCAAAACAGATGTGTTCATTCTTCTAGCAGTCTATGTTACATTCAATATTCTTCTCCAGCACCACAATTCAAGTACATCAATTCTTCTGCCATCTTCCTTATTCATTGTCCAGCACTCACATGCATATGAGGCTATTGAAAATACCACAGCTTGGGTCAGGTGCACTTAGTCTTCAAAATGACATCTTTGCTTTTAAACACTTTAAGAGGTCTTTTACAGCAGATTTGCCCAATACAATGTGTCATTTGATTTCTTGACTATTGACACTGATTGGCACTTCCATGGACACTGATTGTGGATCTAAGTAAAATGAAATGCTTGGCAACTTCAATCTTTTCTCCATTTATTGTGCTGTTGCTATTGGTCTAGTTGTGAGGATTTTTGTTTCTTTATGTTGAAGTATAAACCATGCTGAAGATACTAATCTTTAATCTTTATCAGTAGGTGCTTCAAGTCATCTTCACTTTCAGCAAACAAGTCATCTGTATATCACAGATTGTTAATGAGTCTTCCTCCAGTGCTGATGCCACATTCTTCTTCATTTAGTCCAGCTTCTGAGATTATTTGCTCAGATTGAATAAGTATGTTGAAAGGATACAACCCTGACACACACACACACACCTTTCCTGATTTTAAACCATGCTGTATCCCCTTGTTCTGTTTGAAAGATTGCCTCTTGGTCTATTCACAGGTTCCTCATGAGCACAATTAAGTGTTCTGAAATTCCCATTCTTCACAATGTTGTTCACAATTTGTTATGATCCACACTGTTGAATGCTTTTGCATAGTCAATAAAACACAGGTAAATACCTTTGCTTTCAGCCAAGATCCTTCTGACATCAATAACAACATTCCTTGTTCTACACTCTCTTCTGAATTTGGCTTGAATTTCTAGCAGTTCTCTGTTGATATACTGCTGCAACCATTTCTAATTATCTTCAGCAAAATTTTACTTGCTTATGATAATGTTCAATAATTTCTGCATTCTGTTGGATCACCTTTCTTTGGAATGGGCACAAATATGGATCTTTTAAAAATAAGATTGCAAAAGCTATATTGCATTATACTAGTGGATGAGAAGGCTGTTGGAAAACAAGCAAGTCACACCAAGTCCACTGGTTGTGTAATGAGGACATCAGATTGATAGAACACTAAAGCAACCATTTAGAAACCTCAGAAAAACTTGCCTAAGTCCAAAAGTCTAGAATTAAAGTAAGACTGCAGCAAAACATTACTAATGCTTCTGCAATTGATATAACAAAAATGAGTAGCTTCCAACAACCATAAAATTAAAGTTGGACATGGATCAAGAAAACCTTACACATACACAAATGTGTTTTTAAAGTGCATCAGAAGAAGACAAGCATGAAGATACTGCCATTACAGGCCTATACTCCCTTCTATAGAATTTTAAAATCTAAAAAGCCCTGAAAATCTAAACATTTTAAAACTTCTTTTAGTGATATAGTTATCCTGAAATGAATTGATATGAGGCTATTAATAGTCTTCTTTATCTCACTTCATGTCAATATTTATGTTTTGCTGAAAATATAAATGTGCTTGATTATTTTGTCCCAGACCCCACTGGGAATGATTCAGAATATCTAGCATATGCACTGTATTACCTTTCTAAAATCTGAAAATTCTGAATTCCAAATACATCTGGCCCCATAGTATCAGATAAGAGATTGTAGGCCTGTATTATTTAAAAAAATAAAAAAAGAGAAGAGAAAAAGTGAGAAGAAACATGGTGTTACAGATTTCATTTCCAGGGAATGAAAAAGAAACTCTCCTCTCAAAAACAAAAGGCTTTCAGCAGCCCACTGAGATTGGCCAACAGCCCATTTTCCAAAGGAATTTTTTGCCTCCAGTAGCACACAAGAACCTGGGATTTTTTTCACTCTCAGATTAAGGTGTAAAATAAATTCTTACTTTGAATTTTGCTTGAGGGTTGGCTGGTTAATGCATGACTTGTCCAGTTCACTTGCTATTAACTTGTAAATGATTCTCTTGGAATGGACAGCTCTGTGCCTTAAGAGAACTATGGTAAACAGTGTAATTGAATGGGGGGAAGGGAAAACAACACCTTAGTGATGTGAACATGAAAGCATTACCAGAAATTTCTCTTCCACAATTTAACAATACTCTCCCAAAGATAGTATTGCTGAAACCACCAAAAACAAACACACTGCCATCGAGTCAGACCTGCTTCATAGCGACCCCTCCTTGGATTTCCCAGGTGGTATCACTAGGGAAGTAGATTGCCCAACCTGCCTTCTGAGGAGTGGCTTGGTATTGCTGAAGGGACCCATTTATCCTCAAA